GAAAGACTTCTTCAGTCTGAGGTGATAACCCTAACCCTAACCAGCTGATCACATGATCAAGGAGGACCATCAGCCTAACGATGGATCATTAGCACCCTGATGGCTGTTTACTATTCACAGAGGGCTGAGTGATACTAGCAATAACAGCATTGTAAGAGGGGGACAGTTGAACCCGGAGGCCTCCACCCCTGTTTAATGATGGATGATTTCTTTTCACAAAGATGGCTCCTTTAATTCTCTCTCAAACCATTGTTCCTCTCTATCCAGGATGTGAACATCTTCATCCCTGAAAGAGTGACCACTGGCCTGGAGATGAGTGTAGACCGCAGAGTCCTGGCCTGATGATGTTGATCTTCTGTACTGGGCCATCCTTTTGGCCAGTGGCTGTTTAGTTTCCCCGATGTAAGACTGATCACAGCCCTCCTGACACTGAACAGCATACACAATATTACTCTGTTATAGTTGGTTATAGAATTTATAAAACATTATCAAAGCAAAACATGTTCAAGTATTAAGTAGTAAGTACAGAAGTATTAATTATACAAAAATAAAACAGGTTGAACCAACTCATTGTGTCTATAAAATGTTCCAGTTGTGTTGGCAATGACATGAGTCCATGTCTTGTATCATTGCCAATGATACGGGACATGGGCTCGTGTCATTGGGAACTTTTAAGTGGGCATGCTGAAATTCCCAAGCTTTTTTTAGTGGGTATACGCTGTATACCTGCATATCGCGTAGACTACACAACTGGTTGTAACCCACACTGGCACCAGCTCCTCAACAGAGATATTCCATCCTCTTTATTCCACTTTTCTCCCTATTTCACTTCAGCCTTTTCTCCAAACTTATACAGGCCCAACATTACTCATCCACTTCCATACCCTTGCAAACACCTGCTACTGCTGCACATTGCTCCCTGATCTTTGTTGAAATTCATCATATCATCACAATTTAAAAAAAGCATACCAGAACATTCCTTTCAAGTGTGAGGCTTTCATTCAGTGGTGCATTTCAAACTTTTGCATGTCCTCCTAAACTGCAGCTTGTGGTCCCCTGGGGTTTGCTTCCCACATTCATAACGCTCCGCTCCATGCCAGGTGGCTGTCTTCACAAGTCCTCTTCCTCATAAATCAGACTGCCTTTGAGTTGATCAATAACAAGTCAATTAGCAGGCGCAGAGAGATAAGGGTCTCTTGGGGTCACTGCTTGTTTGTCAGGCAGACATCTGCAGCTCTGTCTCTGTCTGCCATGGAGCTAGGTGCTTCGTTTACCTTGAAATCATGTGGCTACTTGGCCATCATAAATCTAACCATCAACTATAAATAGGCTTGGAACATCTTGCAACAATCCATCATTTGTTTGTTCTTGGATACATAATGAATCAGGCGCTGCGCTCCTCAGATCTCTTGGCTGAGTGTGACGGATTTGAATTCTCCTTAAAAACTGCACTTTCTAAACTGCTAACTTTGCTCAGTAATGCTTCCTGTGAATAGATGTGACTGCTGAAAAGACAGACAAACAAATAAAAACTGCCACTGCTGGCTAAGGTCATGCTCTGCCATATGCACCAAATATAAGCTGCAATGCCTGCCAGTATTCTTCCTGCTCTCTTGTTAGGCTGACAAGACTGGGAAAGACCCAACTGTTGTTTGGTGCCCACTGACTGTGTATCTAATGACTTGGATGGCAAATCCAAAGCAACAGTAACAGGCTCCTGTGGTGAATACACCAGATTAATCCCCTGGATAATTAGAAACAAGAATGATCTTGGGCAAATACTCTGCAAACATGCTGAGAAGCCACATCAAATGATGCTGTATATTCCAAACTCATTATGAATGGTGAGCAAAGAGGTGAATAAAACGTGTTACTGTGAGAATTGGACAAAATACCAGAAACAGATACTTTACACAGATTTTTTTTTTAGACACTTGACATTTTAAACACATCTTTTGATTTTGACTATGTAGCTTACCGTAGGCAGCACGGTGGCATAACTGGTAGAGCTGCTGCCTCTCAGCGAGCAGATCCCTGGTTCAAATCCCGGTCCGGAGGCCTTTCTGGGTGGAGTTTTCATGTTCTCTCTGTGCATGCGTGGGTTTTCTCCAGGTACTCCGGTTTCTCCCACAGACCAAAAACATGCATGTTAGGCTGATTGGTAACTCTAAATTGTCCCTAGGTGTGAGTGAGAGAGTGAATGGTTGTTTGTCTCTATGTGGCCCTGTGATGGACTTGCGACCCGTCCAGGGTGTACCCTGCCCCTCATACAGTGATTGCTGGACATGGGCACCGGTGACCCCCGTGACTCAAAATGGAAGAAGCGGGTTAAAGATAATGGATGGATGAATGGATGGATAGCTTACCATATTTTCCGCCATACACGCCGCACCGCCCTATAAGTTGCATCAGTCCAAATATGTCTAATGAAGTGGAAAAATCCACAAATATGTTGCTTTGCCGAATAAGTTGCATCTATTTTGTGTCACCGCTAACGCGTCGCATTTGTTACACGTCATCGCTGACAACCCAGAAATGTGGGCCGAACCTGGAAATGTGGGCCGGTGTTGTGCCAAAAATCAATTGGTTGCCAAATGATGGCCGTGGGAGTGTGCATGAAAGGACTTTAACAATAATTTAACAAGATTAACACTTAAAAACAATTATTTGTTTTCTCAAAATTATATTGTGTCCCAGTTTAACTTTTCCTTAATAAATGCACTTTGACGGTCAAATCAGCTGCATTTCAAAAGCCGATTCGCGGCTGATGGAACGCGCAGAGGGACGACTCGCTGTGCATTTCTTCGAAATTTAACAAGATAACCACCTAAAAGCAATTATTTGTTTGCTCGATATTATAGCAAAGGTGTGTCTCAGTTGAACTTTTACTTAATAAATGCACTTCGGTGGTCAAATTAGCTGCATTTTGCCGGGGCAGCACAGTGGAATGAAGCTGATTTGACGGTTGCTTCAGGCAAACTGGACGAAGGTGGCAGGCTGTGGCAAGCTGATTGTGTCATTAATAGGCACTTTTTAACCTATTACATGACACAATGGTATACCATTTTACTTGTGCCATCTAGCGGCTGAAAATGGTAGTGTTTGACATTTTCAGTCGGAATAAATGAAAATGGTCATATCTCAGCCAAAAATAGGTTTATAAATATGGGAACAAATCCATAAATACATCACTTCAGCGTATAAGTCACAGAGCATGCAAAGTATGCAAAAAAAGTGGCTTATAGGCCGAAAAATACGGTATTTGCTTTTCTGTTGCTCAAAAATCTAGTTTATATATCAAAACTGTCGTGAATATTGTGCATCCAACCTAATATGAATTATTTGTGCAGCTTCTTTTCACTTTTAGAGCAGAATGAGATAAAGTAATTAAAAAAAAAACTATAATAAAGTTCTCATTATACGGTAGTAATTTAACTTTAATACTTATTTTACTTTCTTAGGGATCACTTCTGTGTGTGCACACTCAGTCATTTTCAAAAGTTAACAGTTTTTCTGTCAGTGCAGCCACCTGGATGAGGTGAACCTGCAGATGGATATGAGGAGCTGAGGATCAGTGTGTTGTGGTAAAAAAAAGTTGTTTGTTTTGGGTTGTGTTGCTGGATTCTGTACATGCAACTGCTGCAACTGCTCTTTGGGGTTGACCTTGTTGTTTCCCCCCCGTTTTTGTCAGCTGCTTCTATCAGGTGGCAAGGGTTGACTGTTGGGATTCCATCATGGCAAGAGTATAAATACAACCCACCATGAAGCAATCCCATTGTATGAAACCACAGCTCCTGTTAACAGAAGCTCCAAACTGCCTCTCTCAAACAGAATACTGTATGGTGTGTGAAGGGGACTGGCTCCAGGGCTTCCTCTGTGCTCCCATGCAGAAAGGGCCCCCAAGGGAGCTAGAAGCCAGCTGAGACAAAAAAAACAAAAAAAAAACAAGGTAAGAGCCCAGCTGACACACATGCATACAGGCTCAGCTGTTTGTCTCAGATGAGAGTTGAGCCTGTGAAGCAGACATAGATCTAGGAAATAGAGTAGACTGACAGATTCCAGCCTCCGAGGGAGAAAACATAGTGAGAACACTAAAAGATGGATAGACAGAAGATTCTGCAGCGTGCCTGCTATAGCTGTGAAACGGTAAGGCTAAAATGGACATAATAGTTTCTGAGATTGTTTGACTGTCTTATTGTCAGAACTGGTAATAGAACCAGTATGGGAGGAGATGAAATACGATCTATCAGCAGCAGCATAAGGATTGATTTTACCTGTACTGTATCACAAGAGTATGTTGGGTGAAATACAATTTTTGAATCAAGTAAATCTGTCTTTTCTTAATGCTTATTCAATATAATGGTTTTCTAGTTTTCTTTTCTGCTTCTGTTTGGTCAATAGATTTGTATTATGAAATAATTTACATGTTTTTCCGATTTTTCTTACATTTAAAATGCCAGTTGGACCCTCATAGAGCTCCGATTCTCCCAGCAATCGAGAAAATGACGAATGCAAATGACTGACAGCTCTTACAGGGATAAGAGTTGCTTCTTATAAAATGTGCTGTGTCAAAGGGAAAAAAAGTAAAAAGACACAGGGACTACAGGAATGATGGGTATGGAGACCAGAGAAATGAAAATTTGGGCGTTGTATTGATCTTCCAGTACTTGACTCATGCATTTTACACAAGATCTAAACGCAGCTCATCGTATAATACGACCCTCCAGGTCAAGGCCTACTACCCTCTTTTCAATAGGATTTCAGCGTGTATGATGTATAAATTCAATGGGAATCAAGCAGCGCTTTAAAATTGTGTGACTGACTCAACACTGAGAACACACAAGTTCAAATCCTTATAGGGGATTTGAACCTTCAAGTCTTTTCTGTGTATCCATTTTTTTCCACAGACAGCTGGAATTATTTTAAAGCTTCTGCAGTAGTTCATAAGAATGTCTCCCTCTCCGTTTTCTCTCTCCAGGGTTTAAGATCTTATTTTCATCATGGCGGCAGAAAGCCCAGAGACAGATGGTCCCAGATCCCACATGCCTGCTGAGCTCCACCATCCCCACTCTAAGTATTCTCAGTGGAAGTTTAAGCTGTTTAGGGTGAAGTCCATGGAGAAGGCACCTCTACCCAGTGAAACACAGCTTGAGATAGGAGCCTCATTAGAAATCTCACCTCCTGCAGTTCCAAATATAGAGACAGATCATGATGCGGGTCCAAGTGTTATGAAACTGTGCCTGGGGGGAAAAAGCAAAGAAAATGTAGAGGGCCCTGGCAGAAGAGTGGATATGAAGTTACAGGAAATGGACACTCATATGAACCACCTCAGGTGATTACCTATGCTAAATATATAAAGTAAACCCTTGTTATGTGCTTTTCTTAAAAAAATTGACAGTGCTGTCTTTCATTGCAGGTGCTTGTGCCGTATTTGTGGCGTGCTGCTGAGGAAAGTCAAAGGACCTGTGCATGATGTTCATGGAGCTCTGGATGAAGTGAGCAAATGTGCACTGCGCAAAATGGGCTGTAAGTTCACAACCTGGTCGGAAGTCATCCTGAAAGTCTTCAAAGTGGATGTGACTGAGGACACAGAGTCAGTTCACCCTCTTTCTTTCTGCCATCGGTGCTGGATGACTGCCATTCGAGGAGGAGGTGTCTGCAGCTTCACAAGACCAAAAATCACTGAGTGGAAGCCACACTCTTCTCACTGCAACATTTGCTCTCCCAGGAAACCTTCATTCCAAAGGACAGGGAGGAAGAGGAGGAAAATTATTCCTAGGGTGCAGAGTCTAGCCAAAAGGAACAGGTGGGACCATGGTGAAAGCATTGCTGTAGGTGAGAAGAGAGCCTTGAGACCCTTTGGAGACCGCCCTGGGCCTGTGTTGAGAGCCTGGAAGAAAACTGGCATCCAGAGAGAGCAGTGGGTCAAGAACATCACCCACTGCCAGAATGCCCACCTGAGTATCAAGCTGATCTCTGAGAAGCTCCCTGTGGACTTCATCATTTCATTCACCTGCCTGGTGTGTGACCACCTGCTGTCAGATCCAGTTCAGTCTCCCTGTGGGCACCTTTTCTGCCGCAGCTGCATTATAAAATTCATCCACGTTCTGGGACCCCACTGCCCTGCATGCAACCTTTCCTGTGCCCCAGATGATCTCATCTCTCCTGCCAAAACCTTTTTATCCACGCTGTTTGCTCTGCCACTGCTGTGCCCCTGCGAAGGCTGTGGTGAGCATGTACAACTAGATTTATTCAAGGCACACTGTCTGAGCCATGAACTGCAGAAAGGTACAAACCAACACTCATCTGAATTAGAAAACTACTTGCTAACCAATAAAGGTGGAAGACCCCGGCAGCACTTGCTCTCTTTAACTCGTCGTGCTCAAAAGCATCGGCTAAGAGATCTGAAGAGCCAGGTGAAGGTGTTTGCAGACAAAGAGGAAGGTGGTGATCTGAAGTCGGTGTGTCTGACACTGTTTCTGCTTGCTCTGAGATCTGGGAATGAACATCGGCAGGCAGATGAGCTTGAGGCCATGATGCAAGGTAAAAAGCTATTTTAAGCCTTTTCTTAAATCAACTAACCACAAAAAGGACAAAAAGTCATTGTTAATCATTATAGTGTTTGCTCGTTAATATTTACACCTACCTCTGAGGAATACAGTTATAGGCAGCCATGTCTTCAATAACATTGAGTTGAAAAGTTCATTTTTGATGGGAGAGAGGGTGATTTTCTGGGATTTGAATTGAAAGACATTTCATTATTGTCTATCTCTGTCTAATGAGAAACCTGTTGTTTCAGGCCCAGTCCTCCCTTTCTCGTTCTTGCTTTCACTCATCTTGTATGTCAGTCTTTCATTCTCACACTCTCTTTAATGCACAGTAACAAGTCTTGTGAAGGGGCTGTTAGAATCAAAACAACATCAGCAGCCCTTGTATCTGCAAATTACACAGACAGCACCATCCTCCTCTCAGGGGAATAGAAGGCAGCTGGTGTCTGTTTTCATCTTCAGCCAATACATCACTTTTGCCAGCTTCACTTTTGCCAGTTTCACCATGTCCCCTTCTAACATCTGGAAAATGGGAAATATTGGCTTTTGTAATCATGTATTTGTGAGATTTTGACAACAATATGTTCACATTTGGGTGGTGAAATTGCAATTCTTTCTGCCTCCTTGTAGAAATGACTTCAAATGTAGGAAATCAAATGAGAAAATGTTGGTTTCTTTATTGTTTTTAAATGACAGGAAATGGGCTTCAGTAGTTCGGTGTTAAATAAATCTCCTTATGCATGAACATTCCTTTTAATTTCCTTTTACATTTGTGTTTTGCTTTTCTCTATTTCTTTCCTGAACTTTGTACCCTTTATTTTCTTTCCCTGCAGGAAGAGGCTTTGGTTTGAGTCCTGCTGTGTGCTTGGCCATTCGGGTCAACACTTTCCTGAGCTGCAGCCAGTACCATAAGATGTACAGGACGGTCAAAGCCACCAGTGGTCGTCAAATCTTTCAGCCCTTGCACACCCTCAGAGCTGCAGAAAAAGAGCTTCTCCCTGGCTTTCACCAGTTTGAATGGCAGCCAGCTCTAAAAAATGTGTCTACATCTAGCAGTGTTGGCATTATTAATGGCCTCTCTGGATGGACATCCTCGTTGGATGACTCTCCAGCTGACACCATCACTCGACGCTTTCGCTATGATGTGGCACTGGTGGCAGCGTTAAAGGATCTGGAGGAAGACATCATGGAGGGGCTGAGAGAGACTGGGATGGAAGACAGCGCTTGCACCTTAGGTTTTAGTGTCATGATCAAGGAATGTTGTGATGGCATGGGCGACGTCAGTGAAAAACATGGAGGAGGACCAGCTGTTCCTGAAAAGGCTGTTCGCTTCTCTTTCACTGTTATGTCTGTTTCTATCCAGGCTGAAGATGACAATGAAGAAATTACCATTTTCACAGAACCAAAACCAAACTCAGAGCTATCCTGTAAGCCCCTTTGTCTTATGTTTGTGGATGAGTCAGACCACGAGACACTTACAGGTGTCCTGGGGCCTATTGTTGCAGAGCGTAATGCAATGAAAGAAAGCAGGCTCATTCTGTCCTTGGGTGGCATGCCACGCTCGTTTCGCTTCCATTTCAGAGGCACGGGCTATGATGAAAAGATGGTGCGCGAAATGGAGGGGCTGGAAGCCTCGGGGTCTACATATATCTGTACTCTCTGTGACTCCAGTCGAGCAGAGGCCGCTCAAAATATGGTGTTACACGCCATCACTCGCAGCCATGAGGAAAATCTAGACCGTTATGAAATCTGGAGAACCAATCCTTTCTCTGAGTCTGTAGATGAGCTGCGAGACCGAGTCAAAGGAGTCTCTGCCAAGCCCTTTCTGGAGACCCAGCCCACCATGGATGCATTACACTGTGACATCGGCAACGCCACTGAGTTTTACAAAATTTTCCAGGATGAGATCGGGGAAGTCTACAAAAAGGTCAACCCCAGTCGGGAGGAACGACGCAGCTGGAGGGCAGCCTTGGATAAACAGCTAAGAAAGAACCTGAAGCTTAAACCAATAATGAGGATGAATGGGAACTATGCTCGCAGGTTAATGACCATGGAGGCTGCAGAGGTGGTGTGTGAGCTGGTGCCCTCAGAGGAGAGAAGAGAAGCCCTGCGGGAGCTTATGAGACTCTACCTCCAAATGAAGCCAGTGTGGCGTGCCACCTGCCCAGCTAAGGAGTGCCCCGACCAGCTGTGCCGCTACAGTTTTAACTCGCAGCGCTTCGCTGACCTTCTCTCCTCTACCTTCAAATATAGGTACAACGGGAAAATAACTAATTACCTGCACAAGACCCTGGCTCATGTGCCTGAAATCATAGAGAGAGATGGATCCATTGGAGCCTGGGCTAGCGAGGGAAACGAGTCAGCAAACAAATTGTTCAGGCGTTTCAGGAAGATGAATGCACGTCAGTCAAAGGCCTACGAGTTGGAGGATGTGCTGAAACACCACTGGCTTTACACCTCCAAGTACCTGCAAAAGTTTATGGAAGCTCACAAAGACTCTGCCAAGGCATTCCAGGCAACTATTGACCCAGAAGAGATCCAGGACAATGACAATTTGTCTCTGGATTTTTGATTATTTTTTTAAGCTGTTGCCAACTTTTGACTTTTGATTGATTTCAAAGGAGTGTAAAATCATATCTCTTTTGTCGTACATTTGTACTTTTAATACTTACTGATGTTTAGAATAATTTTAAGATGATGTCAGCTTCAATGTGCTTTGGGTTAAAGATGCAATTTGAACATTAATGAAATGTACAGTTTCAATTTAAGTGTTTTTCATAATGTTATCATTTATTGTTGGCTACAACGAAGATGTTTTGATTATTCAGTGTTTTACACATGACATAAGCAACTTTCTAAAGAAAAAAAAAATTGTTTACTAATGTTTGCTTGTACCATCTTGCTTTAGCTGCCAGCTCCTGCACTTAAAACTGGAACAGCAGAGACATGGTGAAAGTAAAACCCAAGTTTCTTTTTCTTTGATTCTGTCCTCCGTTTTCTTTTTTAATCTTTGCTGTCTGTGAAATATGATGCATTTTATTGTATTGCAAGGATATGACACATTTATGAATTTATACGGAGGGGATATTTATGGAAACAGATGAAAAAGCTGTAAGTCATGGAGTGAAATTGTGTTAAAAAGACCACATTTGTGGCCAGTGTTTTAATATATCATTTTAGCCGAAGGAAAATGCAATCACAGAGACCCAAATGTTCTTTGTTTTATGAGTGCCCTCTGAAAAAAGATGACTTTAGTGCTTTATCGTGGGGTCCCCAAGGGCCAGGATAGATGCCAGGTCACTTTAAAACCATTTTTTGTCTTTTTTTTAGATTTTTGCACGATAAAAGATAGATGATATTTATTTGAAAGCTTCACACAAAGTAAAGCCTATACTGACCTTTTTGTTGATACCTTAAGAATATAGTATGGTCCATTAGAGCGCCTAATACCCCATGGACTCTTTTGCATGGAGGGGTTTTTCTCCTCTTCTGCTTATGACCTGGTTCTTTCTCCTCGGCTGGTATTTCTTCACTGCCACACTTGATAGAGGAGAGGGATGTGAGGGGAAAACAGAAAGACCTGATGTAAACTGATTTTTCTGCAACTTTATTTGTTTGATTGATTGATCATATTGTCTTTTCTGCCCTCAGCATTTTGATTTGTGACAGGCAATTTTGTTTTCTTACTTGATTGAATGTTTGATTTTATTTCACTGTCATGTAGTTTCACCATGAGCCAACGATAAAATATTCACATCTCATTGGGCAGTTGTCAGAGCCCCACAGTAACATCGTTTTTTAAAGTGCATCATGTCGCAACTTGTCTTACATTTTATTTTTTACCATAATGAATTACATTTCGAAAGTAATGGATGATGGATGAGTCACTGAATTTCACTTGTTCACATATCTCGGTGTTTTTCCCTTGTTTGTGCTTGCACACATACACTAAACATCGGGTGAAATGTTTACGTGGATTGAAGAAAGCATCTCTGGCCATTTATTCCACATGCAAGAAGCATCACACTAAAGGAGCTATTTGTAACATTTTGTGTAACATTTTGTGTAACATTTTGTTCAGGTTGATCTTTATTGTAGATACAATTGCTTTGTTTTTAACCACAAATGGAACATCCTGAAAAGTTATTGTTGTGGTTGATGGGTTTTGTAGTTTTTTTAAATCTTGGTTTTAAACAATAAAGAAATAAACACAAATTCTGATGTTATTGTTTGTATTGTTTTGTCACACAGTTTACGACTAGCTAATTTTATTATTTTATTTTTTTAACTACCGGTACAAGAAACTACATATAAACATTAATTAATGTATATACAGCTGAAAGGCAACTTTTATTTTTATGGATTTTTTTTTTTTATTTAACAGCAGAAATACAAAAAAAGAAATATTAAATAATAAAAAAAAAAACAACAACAAATAAAATAACAAAAAAATAAAGAAATAAAACAAGTACTTTCAAACAGTAACTTGTCTGTGTTTTGATTTATTAAAAATTACGCATCTTTCACGTGATTAGTGAAAGGTCAAATTTAAATATATTTTAAATTTCAGATTACAATCAACTTGAAAACATGCATATGAGGTAAAAATGTAATTAGAAACAAACCCCAAATATTTGGTTACTCTGAGCATTTTGTATCTTGAAGCAATAGCGCAGATAACTTGAAGCGAGGTGGAAAGCTATTGAAAAAACAATATCTTACCTGATGTACTGCAGATTGCTCTTTGAATGATTTCCCTTTGAAAAAAGCAGATTTTAAATCTGAGCAGCTTGATGAGCTAACATCTAGTTTAAATGAGACCAAAAACAAAGTGGATCACTGCCATCCTAAAGCAACTCCAACTTTCATAACTGTTCATACAAACCCATTTTTTATTGTTTACATCACTGTCAGTTTTGCATTACATGATTGTTTACATAAAACTCTATGGTTAGTTAATAGTTGCAGAAACAGCTAGCTGTAACTTTTCCAGCTTGGACATAATATTATTTCCACTAGAATAATCATGAAATGCTAAACTGATGCTAACATAAAGGTTTATTTTACTGTCATGAACCTCTAGAAACCTTTGCGACTTTGGTTCAAAATAGCACTAATTTGAATTTTGGACTTGACCCTGCGACTAGCTGTTTTCTTGACAACCCATAACAAATAACTTGTTTCTCTTTGCCTTGAAATTAAGTCTATTAAATAAAATCTGTCTACAACAAGTAAGATAATAATTGTTCATAACTTTTACATAACCTCAAATCAAAATGTCTGAATTTTGCTTTTTGAGTTTATTATATAATTATTTAACAGTTAATTTTTAACAAGTAACATTTTTTTGACTTGAGTCTTTGCTTCATTTGGAGGAGTCGAAGTGTCGGGTGTCTCGTTCACGGTGGAAGGCGATGGATCGACGAATTTGGGCACCATTCTCAATAACGAGGGTGTTGCTTCAGTTGGTTGTGGTGAAGAAAGAGCTAAGTCGAAAGGCAAAGCTCTCGATTTACTCGTCTGTCTACATTCCAACCCTCATCTATGGTCATGAGGTGAGTACCATGACCGAAAGAATGAGATCCTGGATAAAAACGGCTGAAATGAACTTCCTTCATAGGGTGTCTGGGCACAGCCTTAAAGAAAGGGTAGGGAGCCCCCTCATCCTGGCGCTTGGAGTAGAGCCACTCCTCTGCACTGGAAGGAGTGGGTTGATGTGGTTCATGAATCTGATTAGGACGCATCCTGAACACTTCTCTTTGGAGGTTGTCCAGGGATGTCCCACTAGTAAGATGCCCTGAGGCAGACCCAGAACTCAGACCCAACTTCAAGGTTCCGTCTGTGACCTGACAGACAAACATATACATATATACATATACATACATATATATATATATATATATATATATATATATATATATATATATAATTTCATAAAATGATTACTATACAGCTCTTTTTTGTTCATGACACTGTTTTATATAAGATAACATTTCCAGTCAGTCAGTCTTGCATTACGTTGCTGAGTTGGGCAAATAAATCCCAAGTTTTATCCATTTTTATCTATTATGTATTTGTAACAGGCAGTAACTCCCAAATTGTTGCGACATGTATGCCAGCAAAGCAAATTTGAATTCAATTCCTGCCACTCTTGTAAAATTCCCAGAGTTGTTGTGCAACCAGCAGTTTGCTACAAGCTGTCATGCCTGAACTGACAAGAGTCTTGTTAGAAAGGCGATGTCGAAGGTTGAGGCAGGAGGGGAGAAGTGTAATAGAAGCAGACTGAAGTGATGGTTTTGATTTGTGCAGGGCAAAGTGCTCGTCTTAATACGTTGGTCAAAAATGTGATGATTTTGCTGCTTTCTGTAACAAAACAGTACTTAAAATCTACATCCATCATATTTCTCCTCAGAAAATTGTGGTTTGTGTTTGCATCTATCATTTTACTTTAGGACGTTGTTTCCGGCTTTGTGAAATTATATCTATTTGTAATAGGCAACGTGTATTACTTTATGAATGAATAATCTATAAAACATGATCTAAGGAAATTTTAAACACAGCAAAAACTAGAAACACAACTAAACTAATCAAAAGATATAAAACTGTTATGTTTCTGTGCAGTAACAAATTTAAAACACACAAATATGAAGTCACAAAAATCAGTTGTTCTTTTTTTCTTTTATTTTCATCACAGTTATTTTCAGTCTTATTCATACAAGTTTTTATTTAAATTCCAAACGAGAAATCAGATTAAAACCTATTAAACACTTTCTTTTCACATAATGAAACATTTCCATGAAACATGATTTTGCCATGCAACACAGAAATACTTAACAAAGTTTTACACATTGCGGTTTTCTCCAATCTTTTGTATTTCAAATTTTTAAAATCAAAATCAAATTCCTCAAACAGAGAAATTAACTATAATAGTATTAAAAAAAGAAAGAAAATCAGAGTTAATCAAAAAGCCTTTTGAAAAAGCTTTTTTTGGCCGGGGACATCTTGATTGTCAGAGGCGATTTTTTGTCTTTTGCTTTAATGGGGGTACGCTTAAGGGGAATAATCTGTCGAGGGGGGGTCATCTCCTGGTAGGGCAGGCCTCCATGGTCCAGACAGAAGTACTTTTTTCTGCCCTGAGAGAATTTGAGGAGCAGGCTTTCGGACAGCTCCATACACTGGGCGTGGACCCAGTGTCCCTCCTCCCCCCTGGAGCAGAAAATCATGGCTGGCCGGTGGAGCTCAGTAGAGTAGTATGGCTCCCACGTGTTTGGGTCGACCTGACAGCCTAAGCAGCATTTGATCCAGTAGCCTGTTTGCGACTCATCCTCCTCATCCTCTTCATTGTAAGTGTCGCCCTCGTCGTCGCTGCTGTCTTCCAGCTCGTGTGGCTCTCGTCCAAAGTAGAGCTCCTCTGAGTCCTCAAGAGGGGTTGAGTTGTCGTAATCTGTTGACTTCTGGCTGCAGGCCTGGTCTCCTTCTTCCTCGCGGCGTTCATTGTCTGTTTGGAAGCTCACACGATAGAAGTAATGCAAATCGGTTTGGGAAGGCCTTCCCTCGGTGGGAACAGCCAGGAGGATGCAACCCTCTCCAACACTGCCACCAAACCATGTACGGCTATGCATGATGTCTGGAGTCCACTTGGGAGCTTCCAGGGGCTCAAAGTGGATCCCTTTCTCATCCAGAGTCACACTGCAGCACTCCGTCCTCTTCTGAGAGTCGGACTGATATCCGCCCAAGATGATGTATCTGTGGGTGGGACCTGTACGCGTGATGATGGCACTGGAGATTGATAAGCCCGTTTCAAGAGTCTCACAGGAAAGCAAGGGGCTGCCCTGCAGTAGTTCAACACGCAGGCGAAACAGGCGAGGTGGACGTGAGTCGGAGGTGATTGAGTGCCCACCTATAAAATAAACACAGTCCTCTCGGGCAAGCGCCACATGAAAAGACTGTCCATCACTGAGCTCAGGTAAAGTGTGAGCAGAGGAGCAGACAAACTCCATGTCAAACAGGAAAACTTGAGGAGGACAGTCAATTACACTGTTCCACATTTCTGTGGTCCGCTCCCCTGCAGGCATGTAGGACCTTCCCCCAAACAACACACAGGCTGTCTTCCCCCGACTTTGAACCACGCACAACGTGTGGCCATATCGAGCATTCGGCACTTTCCCCACCAGTTCTTTCTCTTTGCATCTAAGCGTTAATTTGCGATTGCAGCCACGGCTGTCCATGGTCAGCAGATACAAGCTTGATGAGATCTCGTTGTTTGGGGTGCGACCACCATGGATGAGGTAACTCTCAGGAAGTCCGTCGTGGGGGTCGAGACGACACACAGCAGGACAGCGCAGTGGAGGCAGGTAGCACGAGTCACTGGAGAAAGAGATGGCCCTCAGTTTCATCTCATCTTTTTTGAACCGTACCCCAAAAACCCCTGTTGGACACGAGCGCTTTGGCCAGCCTTTTTGGCCGAACAAGAGAGTTTCTCCGTCCAGCTGTAGCAGAGAGCAGCCAGGCTGCAGGAGGCTTGCACAGTTCACTGGAGTTAATGGTTGCAGGGTCATATTGCAGCAGGTGCCTGGGTCAAAACAGCAATCAAACACACAAACATCCCGTCAGTCAGCTGTTGTTTGTTTTCAATGAGGGGGTTTAAATTGTTCATTTCCTGTTTGTCACATGTGATTAAGCACAATGAATGTGATGCCAACATCCACCATTAACCTTAAAATAGCAGCTAACTTCCTATTAGTCACAATTCCTATTTTTAATTAATAAATACATTTATTTTAATTTTAAAATGGTGCAAACCATTATTACAAAGAAATAAAAGCAACAGTGAAAGAGTAGCAAGAAATGCAACTATATCATGGTCATGCCCACAAAAGCACATGAACTCACTTTTACTTGTAATTCGTGGTATGTTTTGTGCTACCTGCATGCATTTTACTACTGGTTTTCCAAAGAAGTGCTGATTAAATTTTTTACATTACACATCGATTTTATGCAGAAACATAGATTTACAATCAAACTTTATTTCTTTTTGTTAGAGCTTATACAGAATCATATAGAAATAAACATTTTAAAAAAGTCGTGCAGTGACAATACATATACAACTTTAACAGCAAAATGACAACTTTTAGCTGGACTTTGGAGCAGCTTATTAAAACAAACTCTAAAACTGATCCTACTTTTCATAAATGTCTTAAAATGTTTTTGTTTGCTTACCTTACAAGAGAAATAATTTAGTGCCTGAGCTCAGTGTGAAACTTGTGCACACTAAGAGGAGGACTAAGAGCTCTTAATGTAGCTGATCTATCTATGATGAGCGCAGAAAGTGGTAGCTTGTGAAGCTTCGTTGACTCACAAACACTTCCAGCTCTTGAGCTTAACAGTCTGTGACTGCTGCTCACTGGCAGGTGTGCGAAGTGACGGCTCACCGCGAGTCTATTCCCCGATTAAACGGTACCTCAGCTGTGCTACATATGAGAGATTTAACTTCACAGTCCTCACTGTTAACATATTTACAGATACCTGAAACAGTTCAAAAATTCTCATTTTTACATTTGCAGAAATGCAGCTGTTTAAGAAGCAATAAAAATGTGTCTGCTGTACTGTTCAAACAAAATTAGCTAGCTACATTACAAAAGCTGTGCTTCAAGGTTCAAGGTTCTTTATTGCCATTTGCATCACATGCGGTACATGAGGTGGAACGAAATTGCGTACTCAAGGTTACTTAAGTGACACCCTAAAATAGCAATACTGTAATATAAAATATAAAAAAGAAACACTATGCAAGGATCTATGCTAAACAATAATAATATAATATAATGCGATGCATTACGGTAATTCCAGTACAAATAAGGCAGAAATCCACTCCTTTTTGTGGCAAAGGTGCATTATTATTTTCCCACAAAGCTGATAAACTTCTTGGAGATGATTAAAATGAGAGTTTACTCAACAAGGATTAGACACCTAACAGTTTCTAAACAAAATGCTTGATTAAAAATTTCCATTGTTTGAATTTTGGTAAATGTGCAGTTGATTGTAAAAAATAGAAAATATTTGATGCCATCCAATGCAAAACCAGATGTTTTCTTAGGCACTACTCCATCCGAGTCCTTTTAAAAGTGAAGATAACATTTTAAAATCAGTGAAAATTGCTGTTTTGCAGTATCGGTTGCTACTGAACTGCAATTTAGTATTCATCTTCTGAAGAAGAATGCATAACCCCTAATATATAT